GATCGTCTCTATTAAGCTGTAAAGCTTTATATATTCCGTCTTCAACAAGAGATTTTGGATATTCCCGTAATAGTAAAAACGTCCTAAGTTCATTCAGTCTTTGATTGCGGGTGTCTTGGTTTGAAACTATTGTACATATTCTTCGTGCCAGGTTATATGGAAGACTTCTTTTGGTGTGGCTCGGATGACAAGATTTGAAGTTTAAATATTGTTTCGTATCTGTAGGTTTGTAGAAGATATCTGCGTCCAATTTCCGCCCCGATTTGATGACCATTGTGTCTAAGAAAGCTGTTTTAGTTTCATCTGCCTCCATAGTGAAAACAAGATTTTCGTCCATGCTATTTAATAGTTCGTAAAATGTATTTAGTTTCTCCTCAGAAAATGGCCAAATTATGATGCAGTCGTCTAGAAATCATTTCCAATTTTCTATGAAATAATGGGCAACATCCTCTCCAAGAATTTGACTGATTTTATGCTTGAACTTTTCCTCCAGATATCCTAAGACAAGCGTCGCATAAGTCGGCGCCATTTTGGTTCCCATGGCTGTTCCTTTAATCTGTTTATAGTACTTATCGTCAAAAAAGAAAATATTGTTTTTTTAAGATGAATTCAACGCTTTCCAAAATGAATATATGTATATATTTCTCATTTCTCATGTCCTGTACAATGCATATACACCATGTATGTCTCATGTAACATCTTTATTAGAGGAAAACAAAATAAATAAAAATAAATAATAAAAAATAGACATAAAACTTTATCTGACTGAGTTTTTGTTTTAGCAATTGTATCCGGCGCAGGGGAGTTCTTAACAATTCATTATAAGATGGCAGGATATGGTATTAAGTTTCAACAGTAACATGTTTAAACAGTATATAATTTTTTTTTCAAAAGAAATGTTTTCTCTCTTTTTGAAAATTTGAACAAATTTGCTTTCGGATTGTGACGACTTCCTTACTGGAGAAGGGCTTGATTTGATTTAAACATATTTTATTCACAAATGTGAAAGGGATTGGTGACAAGTTATCCAAAATGCCCGCTCCCTGACAAGAAAGTGAAACTCCTTCCCCTGATCATGCGAGTTAGGTAGCTGACACACCCGTTCCCGAAATAGTGTACCAGCGACCGGTTTCAGCTTGGCAGGGTATGGATTGTAGTTCTAAATTTGAGAACCAGCTTGAATACCATTTTGAGCGAGAAGATATACTTTTCACAAGATAAGGTTTGCGTTACGAACCGCTTGAGTGAGTGAGTTAGAGAATTTGGTTTAACGCTGCTTGTAGCAGTATTCAAGCAATAACACGGCGGCGGACTCCACAAATAGGCTTCATTTTACCCATATGGGGAATCGAACCCGGGTCTTCGTGGTGACAAGCGAACGCATTAACCACAAGGCTACCCCCAGTTTTGCAGATACTGGCTTTTAGATATTTCTTCTACCTATTAAAGCTAGCCATTGTGTGGAATATACTGAAAGGCAAAAGAAACGTCGTAATATTGGAAATGACATTTAAGTATCAGTGGAGTATTTGTTTTTAAATTTACACCGGAAGTCAAGTTCATTTGTTTTCTGAACACAGCGGCTATGGCTATGTTAACGCGAGATCAACGGCAACAAGCCATTGGACGTCTAGACGCTGGTCAACGTGCTCGAGTCATTGCTAATGTTCTGTTCTGGAAAAGGCAACTAAAGCAATGTCCTTTGTATTAAGCCAAGGCAGAAAATTTCAACTTTCCATTGATTGTCGTTTGAAATTGTTTGATTGTATGGTTACCCCGATTCTTTTATATGGATGTGAGGTCTGGGGTTTTGAAAATACTTCTTGCTTTGAAAATGTCCATCTACGCTTTCTCAAATATTTAGTATCACTCAGGAAAAGTACACCTAACTTTATGTTATATGGCGAGTTTGGTAGATTCCCACTTGTAAATGTTATCAAAAGCAGAATGGTATGTTTTGGGGCTAAACTTTTAACCGGAAAATCATCAAAATTATGCCTCTTAATATATAAATTAATATTCAACGATTATATATTTGGTAAGTGTGAACATAAATGGATAATCTATCTTCAGATAATTTTCGAGAATCTTGGACTGAGTTGTATCTGGAAATCCCAAAATTTTGAAAGTATATTTTGGCTTAAAATTGTTATCAAAAGTAAATTAAAAGATATTTATCAGCAAACATGGATGTCAACAATTGAAACCTCCTCCAAAGCAACCACTTATAGCACACTGTTGAACATAATAAACTGTGGCTGTTATGTCAACTTTATCCATGTAAATTTAAACAGCTGTCTCGTATTGTCTCACTTGCATCAAGAAGACTTCAATCAAAAGAATGCTGCTGTGGTACAGTTGCTCATGATATCATGAAGCATGTGTTCATATCTTGCCGTATGAATATGAAAGAAAGAAATGAACTGTATGAAAGTGTCATTGGCATACTCGATGTAGATTGCTTTGTCAACTTACGGGCAAACGATGATGACATTATGATTACATTTCTACTTGGTGGTCTTCCAGAATGTGCTGCTGACATTGATTTTGATATCTGGTGCAAAATAATGTTCCAGGCTGCTGATTTTATTTATAAATGCCAACATCTATTTGTGTAATCTCTTGTCTATCACCTGTACATTAAACCTGTCATAACCATTTAAACTGTACCCTTGTAATCTTCAATTCTGGAGGACATAAAGACTATCTATCTAAAGACTATTTATCTTCAAATCATTTTCTTCCAATCGAGACAGGTAGATGGCGACGAATACCAGTAAATGATAGAAGGTGTACTATGTGTAACCTAAATGATATTGGTGACGAATTTCATTATTTATCTATATGTCCCAAATTAGAATTAGAAAGAGAAAACTATATCCAGAAGTATTATTATATTAGACCAAATATGTATAAAATGAATATCCTATTTAACACCAAGAAACTAGAAACTTTAAGAAAACTTTCAATTTTTTGTAAAATAATTATGGCTAAATTTAAGAAATAATTTCAGTAACACAATATGTAACTAGCTCGATGTACATTGCACCTATCATACCGTTTGTATATACTATTTCTGTTGTATATAAATGTAAATATTATTCATGTACCTCTTATGCTGCAGTTTGCAGCCTGAGTGAATACAAGTTCAGTTCAGTTCAGTAGACGTCTGCGCACTCTCAGGGGTGTCCTCTCACTTAGCCAGATACTGTCAAAACAGGTCCCTCACATAGCCAGAGTGGGATCTGGCTGACCAGGGTCAGTGTTTTGATAACACTTAGTCCAGATGAGCCATAGTTTGTTTCAAGAAAATGCTCAATGAGTGAGTTTAGAGAAATGTGTGTTAGAGTGAGATACATGTACATTGATATGTTACTAATTACCTGGCTCGCATCTCTCACCTAGACATAGTGCAATGTTGTCTTAACAAGACCTTTTGGGGTAAGTGAGAGTGAACCCTCTCAGGAACCAACCCCAAAATGTGCACGATCTTGCAGCTGTCTTTGCAGGAACATTTGCGCCGACTCCCTAATAATGTGTTTACACGCATCGGACCGTCCATGAGGAGGCGTTGCTTGGCATGTTGACGCTTTCCCGGTTATGACCGACAGAACCTGGTTTGACGCTTTACCGGGTATACTAAAAATTGAAATGTCGCTTTCCCGGGCCGACACTGGAGGCGTTGCTTAGCAACTGTGAACGCATGGGGTGGCCATACAAGCTACAGAACGTTTGCAACATCAGATTTAATTTCTTGTGACTTGACTCTCTGTTTACGCCTTTTATTGATAAATTCTGTAACCACACGGAACCGATTTTTGGCATTGTGATTATTCTCAGTTCATCCTATCAACCTTAACATATAATAAATGATAATCTCTATACCACATTCTTGTTCCTTCTTTTATATATTGTTTAATATATGATTGTAAAGTTTCTAGTTTGACTCAATATATTATCATATAGTATTAATCGTAGATAAGAAATAATATGAAAATAGCGTCGTCGATAATATTGTACAGTACATAAACCTTTGTGATAGAATAAAGTTTTAATTTACTCACAATACACAAGGGCGGTGGGGTAGCCTAATGGTTAAAGCGTTGGCTCGTCACGCCAAAGACACGGGTTCGATTCCCCACATGGGTACAATGTGTGAAGCCCATTTCTGGTGTCCCCCGCCGTGATGTTCCTGGAATATTGCTAAAAGCAGCGTAAAACCAAACTCAGTCAGTCAGTCACAATACACAAGGTTATTTTTTCAGTCATTGGGGGCTTCTAAATGATGTTCAGGAAGCTGTTTTGTCAGGAACCCCTGCCTACACATGTCACCACTCACAAGTTTTGTGAAATACATGTAGATTCATTCCTTTCAGACTTTTTTTTACATTTTTCATCAAAGTTACTTCTCCGATATTTCTCGATAATCGATCGATACTTAGTTAACAATTATCGATCTCTACGATCTCTATCGATATCCAGCCCCACACACTAAACACACGTGTACATACACGGGATCGCTTCACAGGGATCGATACTGTATATGTGGAACGTCGTTTGCAGCGACGGCAAACAGGAGTGGGGTAGCCTAGTGGTTAAAGCGTTCGCTCGTCACGCCGAAGGCCCGGTTCGATTCTCCACATGGGTACAATGTGTGAAGCCCATTTCTGGTGTCCGACGACGTGATATTGCTGGAATATTGCTACAAGCGGCGTAAAACCAAACTCACTCATTCACCTATTGCACGGTTTTTGAGAGACTATCAAATAGTAATCTCACAAAGTGAGCGTGTCCTGCCACATCCGTCACAAACACAAGCGAAAGCAAGTCAGTTGTAAACCTTGAAAACATATTGATAGAAGAAGTGGGTGCGTATATTTCAACTTTATTTCGGATTTAAGACAACCAGCACTATATGCAGAAAACAATCAACAAGTTAAAGATACATAACAATATATAAATATCAACAATGTCATCGTGATCGTTGAGTGATATCAGCCTCATAAGTGTGAAAACGTTAGTGGTGAAACATCTATTTCTAAGCTCCGACTGCGCACGTATCTGTTTTTCGCGGTCTTGTTCGTCTTGGACTTAGACCGGAAGTGACGTAGTTGACTGGCGTAGTCCTCGTGCAGCATGGGGATGTAGGTGTTTGGTTGACACTGTCGCTGAAACAAGCACCTTTGTCAGTAACCTTACTTGTGTGATCTCTTGTAAATCAAACGTTTGCGAAATGCGTGATGTATTAATCAAATTTAAAAAACTAGATATGGCGTTTCTAAGTTTACTCCTCGCCAAGTTGTGCTCGTTTTAGATTTAGCCAAAGTTTGAGTCGAGTATAATTACTTTACTGAAACAACAACTGTGAACGCACCTGATGTTGTTCATAGAAAGCCTTGTAACCGCCATCCAGTAAGTACACTTCCGGATAGAAGAGGAACGGGTAGCAGTCGCTATTCAACTTCCGGTCCATACTCCGCAGATGGCGTAATCTGGGGTTAAGAAAGATTGCATCAGATGAGGAACATGTCGGTATGAAATGTGCATCACAGCGTAAAACTGTTTCAATGCCAAGGTTCGGGTCAGTTTAACAAAGTTAAAGGTGAGAGAACAGAGACAGATCAAACCAGGTACACAAGGGCGACTTACAGTTTGGGCGCTCTCTCTGAGGAGAATTCACAGTGGAAAACCAGGATGTTCCGTTGAGTCGACTCCCTCCCTCGTAGGTTGGTGACTAACTCCGAGATTTGAGCCTCGTTGTGGAGATTGATGGCACCCTGTAAGAACGTGGATTAGGGGGATGACAAGATGCACAGAATGTCTACTGGACCTTATTAGGGATGTTTATGTTCTAGATAGATAGACTAGATATTACATCATTACAGTCTCAAATGACAACAAATAACTTATAATATACCTCTATATGACCACCCTCATATTCATATGGGTAGCGACAGTCGATGATCTGGTACCCGGAAATGACGTCATCGTATTTCCCTGTCAGCAGTTGACTGACTGTGCGTGGAGACACTGACTTGAGATCCTTGTGTCGGCCTGTGATGGTCGGGAGCCTGTGACACTGGAGAACAAATAATGACTTCATTATACAATCAAATATGACAAACCAAAAGAAATGAGGGTCAGATCCGTGGACCATTTCAGTAAAGATTCAGTGCTTTATTGATATTTCCATAAATAAATTATTACCTTTGAGCCATCGCCAATCAGATTGATTTCCGCCTCCATTTTATCCACGGCTGATTTCATGGATTTGGGGGATTCCAAAATATAGAGCTCTTCACGACACATGACGTCATCACCTCTAGATCTCTTTGCAGTTGGGCTGTCATCCTCATCACGTGGCCGTTTTGGTGAGAATAAAGATTTTTTGGCTGAACTGAAGTCGGTGATTGTTCTGATCGACAGAAAACAATTGAGAGGGGATCCCTGTAAATGGAGAAGGGGGAATACATTCATAATTGTAACAGGTTTCGTTTTGTTTTTGGTAGAGGCGGAAATAGTCCAGCTATATGACCGCTGGACCAGAAAATCCAGTGATTGATAAAATGAGGAACAATACACGTCGTCAGGGTATGGTGACGCTCAATCCACCATGACACCGTGTCAGACCACGGATCCCTTTCATCGCCTCTTAAGACCAGCACAGGTTCCTGGGGCCTAATCTATCCCAGAGTCCCCAGGCTCCTATGTGAGGGAATATTAAGATTACTCTCTGAAGGTGCATTGTTTGGTTTGGTTCTTGGTAAAGATATGGATGTGTATCGTGTGTTTACCCATACTTGCCAAACTTTAAAAGCATGTTTTCTTGATCTGTGGAAATAGTAACACAGTTTGGACTTTTACCTCGGAATCACTTCCGTGAGATTCGAAACCGCTGTCACGTGAGTCATCGTCGTCATCGAAAGTGAGGCTGCGAGGCAAGACGCCGGCATCTTCAGGAATAGAAAGACGACCAGATGTCACGTGATCAGGACTATCAAGGCAAAGTGGGTTCATCAAGGACATTGCAGAAGGGGTCATTTTAACCTGAAAACAAATATCGAAAGTGTTATAAAATGAGTCCAATTTCAAATTATTAAGATACAACAGAAATGTAACTGATGTAGCACGCTGAAGTACATCAAATAATATGTGATTTTCATCTCCATCCTTGGAAGATGTTGATGGAAGTTATCATGATTCTGGTTGTAAGCAAACCATTATAACGTCTTGTAGGCGGAATCCTTACCCGTTGTGTCTATGTCTTCCTGTTTTAGGCAGTGTAAAGTTTCTTGTTGTGACTGCCCTGTGTCTTATACAACAGTATTGAGATAATGATGCCCTCTGCAGTTTCAAAAACTGTATATATACCTACACACCGTCAATGACCTGATTACATACACAAACTAATTAACAAATACTGCATACTATCGTTAACACTTCAGTCTAATGACGGTGTAATAAGGCAAACAGCGTCTGTAACTCTGAAACAACAAATCCCGACTAAAACGGAGCAATTATAGGAAGCTAGCACCTTGTGAGTGACCAGCGCTCTAGCTTGGGGAGGAAGAGTGATGGCTTGTGTGTCCAGCGTTTCTATACGGTGGTGAGGGGAGATTATCCCCCGAGTGATAATCCAGGAGGGGCATCAAATAAACCGATAATTGAGGTTGTAATAAATGCCGTGTGTACAAATGGGTGATGGGCGCTTCATGCTACACACGTGACAATGTGCAATTGCCTATAAAGATTAGTTAACAATGCTAGCAGTATCAGCAATACACAGTATTAGAGGCGATGTTTGTACCAACACACTGGACCAGGCAGGGAGGAAGACAGCGATGGTACCAACACACTGGACCAGGCAGGGAGGAAGACAGTGGTTCAATTTGTTTTTCTTTAGGCATTAGGCAATGTGTAAATATAGTTACACAGTTAATAACATCCATTGAAGATTAAAACTCGTTGTTTGGCTGGAAAACAAAGGAATGTAGATGACTGGACAGTGTACCTCTGACGTTGAACAACAATATCAGAAGGCACGGGAGTGTGGAAGAAAGTGGTTACAGGTCGGGAAAACCACATTTCCGAAACAGATAGCCAAAATTGATGTGGCTGATATGGTTGCGTGAACATGTTAGTGGCTGTCAAAACATATTTAGTGATTCAAACAGGTTACCGTATTTAACTAACAAGACATGTTTCCTCATAGGTTTATTCAGATCACAACATATTTCATTTCTATAATTGGCACAATATGCATGTAATATACTAATAGGTATTTTAGATATAATATTATCACATAATAATACATCTTAATCTGTAAAACATTTTTTTTTTTAAAGTATTTTTATTTCCCAAAGTAAATTTTGTGTTGTCATAATACATTGTACAAAACATCATACACAACATCCTCGTCATCAATTTGTTGTTGTCATAATTCATTGTACAAAACATCGTACACAACATCCTCGTCATCAATTTGTTGTTGTCATAAAACATTGTACAAAACGTCATACAAAACATCCTCGTTATCAGTTTGTTGTTATCATAATACAACATCCTCGTCATCAATTTGTTGTTTTCATAATACATGTACATTGTACAAAACGTCATACAGAACATCCTCGTTATCAATTTGTTTTTGTTATAATACATTGCACAGAACATCATACAAAAAACATCCTCGTCATCAACATTGTGCAAGCATCATCATCACCATCAATACAAACAATCATCATCATATGTTCAGGGTGAATATACTATAATGTATCTGTTATCTTTTGCTGGGTTTGCATCAGAAAATGCTGTATATTTGGTAGCTTTATAGTAGTTGAGTATTTCCCTTTGAAGCACTTTGAAATCTGGCTTTATATTATTTCGGCTTGTTTTATATAGCATATATTTCACTATTAGAAACACCAGATTAAGTGGGTTGTTGTTTTGACCCTATCCATATTAGCCTGTTTTTTTCTGCGTTAACTTTTAACTAATCTGTAAAACATAATAATAATGATAATGGTTTAGTTTGTTGCCATGTGTAAAACCAGATAAAATGGCGTAAGATCACAAAACATCATTTACAAACATTCATTTTTTACACCCCCTACTGCAGATGAAAGAGGTCGCCCACATGGTCCGTATAATCCATGTCACTCAGGTGTTGGTTCAGAACCTTGGTCTTCAGTGATGCAATACGAGCGTATTATATTTCTTTCTTCGTGAAGGTGCTGCACATCCACTGGTCAGATAGTCTCAGGACAGCAACCTCTGTGAGAGACTGCTCACGCTGAAAGAGCTTTACTACTAGTATCTCTTAAGTGTCAGGGTGGCACTTCTGGACAAGTCTCTTTACCTTATTGTGCCAACCTTCTAGATTGTTGGTACGGTGTCCCTGGTTTTCGAAATCAGTTAGATTAATCTGGACATTCTAGGCTCTCTATATACCCTATAAAATCTTTCTGTACGTGAAATTGATGCAAATACTGCTTGAATATTTCTACGTTTTGGTGATTGATATTGCTGTGTGTAAACAGAAAATGGAAACATGTTACTTTGCAAGCACAAATGTTAACAACGATAAGTTGACGTGTTCCTAAACACATTTTCACGATATCAAAGATACTTTGTACTTGTTTTCACTAATGCAAATCAGCAGAAAATCTTTTTAAAGACTGAAATCATAGGAATGATTCTTTTACAATTTTACACACTCTACAACAGTTGTTACTTGTTTTGATTCTTGAAAAATGGTGACTTTAGATGGTTTATGTCTGTCTCAAAGCAGAATTTTATTTCACCCTTTCTTTTGGACATCTAAATCATTGTTATTGGTTTATTTCGGCATGGTCGAAAATAGGACAATTTAACTCTTCTGTAAAAGATGCATTTCACCGAAATATGAATGCGTTTGATAATTTGGTTCGTGATTTGCATAAAGCTGTGTTGTTAAGCTCTCTTGAAACTAATACCTTCTAACATATCTTTAATAGTTTTTAAGTAATTCATAAAGGTAGGAGGGGAACGTTTCTTTTAGCGTTTAGTGTAGGAACAGTCCTTTACCGGTATTGCTTAAACAACACGTTTGTGAGTAGGAAAGATTATTCGTTCCTTGTGAAAACAATATATGGGGACACTCTTATACCGGTTACGGTAATCCATTAACTAATTAATCTATTGGAAATGTTGCTTTGCCGGCTACAGCCCTGTAATTATAATATATAATTATATATATATTCCATATATATTTCTCAATTCTCATGTCCTGTACAATGCATATACACCATGTATGTCTCATGTAACATCTTTAGAGGAATACAAATTTGAAAACAAAATAAATAAAAATAAATAATAAAAAATAGACATAAAACTTTATCTGACTGGGCTTTTGATTTAGCAATTGTATCCAGCGCAGGGGAGTTCTTAACAATTCATTCTAAGATGGCAGGATATGGTATTAAGTTTCAACAGTAACATGTTTAAACAGTATATAAATTATTTTCAAAAGAAATGTTTTCTCTCTTTTTTGAGAATTTGAACAGATTTGCTTTTGGATTGTGACGACTTCCTTACTGGAGAAGGGCTTGATTTGATTTAAATATATTTTATTCACAAATGTGAAAGGGATTGGGGACAAGTTAACCAACTTAAAATACCCGCTCCCTGATAAGAGAGTGAAACTCCTTCCCCTGATCATGAGAGTTAGATAGTTGACACACCCGTTCAACTCTCGAAATGGTATCAACCTGTTTCGTCTAATTTTTAAAACAGGTAAACAGTAGCAATTAGACGACCCAGGCATAGTCAGGGTTGAGTGACTTTGCTTGTTAGACGAAGTAGGCATGTGGACCAGTTCATTTCAAACTTAACAGGGGTGTTACCACAAAATAAGAACAAAGACAACATAAATATATTTCATCGTACATTTTTATTATTTATTATTTTACTGTACTTATTTGCATATATATCTCACACATATATAACATTCACAAATATATAAAAATATATTTCATCATATATTTTTACTTATATTATAGTTAGTTGCACAGACATCTGCAACTTATCACCACACACACATATACAAATCATATATATTTCATTATTAAAAAATATACATAAATATATTTTATCATATATTGACTTGTATTATTGTTGCACCTTATTCATCTTATCACCACTTTTCACATGTAAATATATCACCACATCATATCAGGCATACTCTCCTAAGTGTTTGAAAATAAACTGATTGTAGTTCTAAATTTGAGAAC